AAAAAAAAAGAAAACTTGAAAATTTTCCCAGAGATACTTTTTCGAAAAATTAAAATCCCTTGCCGCTCACCGCCTCTGTCCCCGCGCCGCTGACTGCTGACTCGGTGTGCTTCTTGTCCTCCCGCAGCGCGCTGCTGGCCGGCGCCTCGAGGCAGCACAAGCTGGGCTGGGAGCACGCGCTGGCCGGGGAGGCGGGCGCCCGCCTGGAGGCGCTCGTCCTCAGGCACCACCGCGCGCCCGCCGCGCCCACCTCGCCCAACGCCACGGGTGCGCTCAACAACACCAGCCATCATGCATAGCGGGTGGAACACGAACGTGTCCCGATTGGGCGCGCGGGAAACTCACTCTCGTACTCGCACCAATCGGGAAACGTTTTGTTTTTTTTGATCGACCCGCTCTTCGTCTGTTGAGCTGAGCCGCACTATTTTTCGCACTACAACTGGCTTTGCAGGCCACGTCCCCGCCGTGCCCGTGGCCGTCAGCCTTGACATCCGCGCCGTCAGCGACCCGTACGGAGGCGAGCCGTCGGCGTTTCACCAGGTGACGTGTGTGCTCCGACGCGACCAGCCTCCCCTCGTGTCGTCCTTGATTAGAAATAGCCCCTCGTGGCGAGCTGGAAAATGCATAGGCCTGCCTGACCTCTGATCTCTCCAGGAGCTGCGCGTGCACCTGGACCTGCGCCTGGAGTGGCAGGACAAGCGCCTCGCCTACAAGAATGTTTCAGGTAAACCGCATTATCAGGTGGGGTATGTGCGTCGAGGGGTGCGTCACTAAAACGAGTTGGTGCACACCCCCAACCCCAAAAAACAAAACAAACAAAAAAAATAGAAGAGAAAATAGTTTTAAAATCAGAAAAAAGTAAAGTAGTGCACGCTTGAATTTGTAGTGTGCGTGGTGTAGCCCGGTCTCACTTCCCTTCCTTGCAGGCCTCGGCCGATCGCCCTACCTCGTCGTGCTGCCCGATGCGCACCTGTTCTGGACGCCGGACGTCGTGTTCGTCAACGAGAAGGAGCTGGTCCCGGAGCCGTCCCCCAAGGACGTCGGCGTCCTTCGCGTCGGGCCGCACGGTCGCGTCCAGTTCCGCGCACGGTGAGCATAGTGACAAAGGAGTAGTAGTATGGTTCTGTCCGTGCACACCCTGCGCCAGAGATCATAGCGGGTATACGGGGTTGGTGCCTGGTGCTGGATATGGGCGGTCGGGCCTCAGAGCGCGCGAAAAGGATTTACGCAGGCTGTGCTTTCTCTAAGCATCCGTGTTTCTCATTCCCGTAATGGTACCCGTCTCTCTCTCTTTCTCTCTCTGTCTGTCTCTCTTTCTGTTCCTCTGTCTCTCTGGTTCTCTCTCCAGTTATTCCGTCGTGCTGTTCTGCCCCATGGACCTGGCCCGCTTCCCCTTCGACCGCCAGGTGTGCCCCCTGCTCATCTCGACCTGTAAGTACAGCATGGTTTGGGGGGTGGGG